GGCAACTAATGAGAAAACACCAAACATATAAACTTGCACAACTCCCAAGACTCTGATTCTCTGATGAACCATTTCTATTAACCACCTGGGCCCAGGAAAAGAAATACAATACTGAATCTACATATCATTGCACGGAGCTCAGTTCTTTTTCAATGACACTTCTAGTAAAAACAAGTTTTCTCAAATCAGAAGTTAGTCCTGAAGGAGAGAGCAGAGGAGCTGAAAACATCAGTCAGACATGTGTCTTGCATTTCTTGATAATGAAAATATTCTCTCCTAACTTTATAAAATGCTTTCTAATTGTTACCCTTTATTTTTAACATAAACAATGTGCTTGATCAGTACACATTAGATAATAAACTAGTTCATTCTTGATGGGTCAAGAGTCAAGTTGATTGGTTCTAAACAGAAAAATAACTTGGTAGACTAATTCACTGTATCTATACAAAGAGCAAAAATCTTACATGTGTGTGTCTAATCATCATATAAATATACATATGTGTGTAGAATCATATATATATATATTATATATATATAAAACTGTATTGTGATAGACAGAAGAACCTAGCTTTAAAATAGAAGGAAACAATGAGAATTTAGATAAATTGATCAAAAGCTATATTTTTCCTCTTAAATATGAACGTTTCCAAACTTCTTACTTCACCTAAAAAGAACTTTTGGTAAATGGATAGATTACTAGGGACTACCTAAGAGTGTAACTCACAGTAAAGCAGAACTTTGCAGTGTGATGAGGAAGCCACCACTTGTCTTCTGAGAGGAAATATCTTTTACTTTAGGATAACATGTCTTTCTTATCTTTTAGGAGGAGTGTGTATTTGATGGAGGACAGGCGCATTAGAGAAACTAAAGCAAAGTATGTCAGGCACAGAATTGAAAGAGTAGACATTCGATTCCTACCTGTTCTCCTCCAGACTCTGCAGCAGCAGCCACCTTCTCGTTCTCTCCCCACTTCTGTAGGTGTTGAGCGAAGACTCACAATCACACCTGATAACGAGGGTTCGCAGATGTTTAGGAATCCACTCCAAGTCACTGAAGCTGAGAGACCCAAATCTCCGTGTGTCACCTCTTAATTATGCATCATAATTCTGTATGGATATGCAATAAAACACCAAGAAAGTTATTCTCAGATCGTCTACTATTGGCTGTGACACGGTGATAGAGAACGTAGCAGACTATAAGGGTCCTTCAGAAACCTCATCCACAAGTTGGGTAAGTCAAAACCTCTGTTTTGCTGAGTTCTTTCTAGTCATGTACATAGTGGGCCTCCTATTTTCCAAACCAATAGAATTCGGTGTGTTTTTTACTACAATCATTTTTCCACAGATTATTCATGCCACCTTAGGCTTAGCCCCTAAATAAAGTGCCTTTATATTCAGAGTTAAATATCATGCCCCTCTACTAAGAGGCACTACAGAAATCTGAAGTTTGTTAGGAATTTAAAGTTCAGAAACTAGAATAATTGCTTTCAAGTTGAAGTGGCCAAAAGTGCCCTTCTTGTGGCTGGCGAGCAATGTGGAGCTGATATCAACAGTCACCATGCTCCAGAGCCTCAAATCAAGCTGCACTCCCTTCATCTGTGCTCACTCTGTTCCTTCTTCTCTACCTTGTTGGTGGAAGTGGAAATACTGATTGCTGATGGTGCTTGACCCAACGAACCCCATGATTTCACCCACCATTCCTCCTAACCCTCTTTTGTTTCCAGCAATCTGTTTTGATGTAATATCTTAGCATTTGGAATAAAATTTCTAATCTGCATAACTTTCATATTTATGAGCAAGTTAATGGTGCTCCTTCCATTCAGAGGCCAACTTCGAGTATTGATCCATTGATGCTTTCAACATTTTTGAAGACAGGGCCTCCTCTTCACTGACCAGGAACTTTCCTATGTAATGCAGGGTAGCTGACACATGAGCTTCCAGGGAATTGTCTCTGCTTCCCTTCTCACAGCCCTGGGTTCACTGGTGTGTGCTGCTGTGCCAAGCTTTTGATTTGAGTTCTGAGGATCTAAACTAATTTCTGTTTTTATGCTTATGAGGTGAGCTCCTTTACCAATTGAGCTATCTCCCCCACCCAGAAAATTATCTTTTAAAAGTATAATCAGCTCCCTCCATGTCAATCCTATAGGCCCCTAACTGCAAATCTAATGTGTTTATAAATTAACTGGATTGATTCCTAATGTATTAAAATTCGTTCATCCAAGTGAACGTTGTTCTTTAAATTAATCCCCAGAGCACACTATAGAAGTCATGATAGCTAGTCACTAAAGTGTTCAAATCTCTCACTAGCACTTCTGCACTATGATCACAATGTGCAGGACACAACTCTCATGAATTTACTGTGTTCTATATTGTTTATCCTCTCACTTTACATCAAAAGTGCATCCTCTGGCTGTATGCCCACAGGAAAGCTCCCAAAGAGGATCTGAAGCACCGTTCTCAGCAAACAGAATCTGTGGACTCAATGCTCAATACAACAGACCCATTGGTCCCATTTAGGAGACGTGAGGCAAGACTTACAAAAGCAATTTGTAAGTCAGAGAGCTCAAATGTGACCAACTACAGACCTGATTTGTTCTGGATCACAGCAATGCCCCACATCCTGGCTCCAACTTGAATGGATATTGCATTATTTACCCAGGTTTTTTTTGCTTTGTTCAGATTGTGACTATATCCTGGCTCTTCCCTCTTGAATTGAACTTAATTAAGCTATTAACTAATAAAGATTTAAGTACTTAGCTTAATTTTTTATTTTTACCAGAGCCCACAGCAGAAAGACTTTGAACATTTCAAGGAGATGTTGGATTTTTAAAGAGATTAGATATTTTAAAGAGACTGAATTTTATTTTATTTTATTTTATTGGTTTTTTGAGACAGGGTTTCTCTGTGTAGCTTTGCGCCTTTCCTGGAACTCACTTTGTAGACCAGGCTGGCCTCAAACTCACAGAGATCCACCTGCCTCTGCCTTCCGAGTGCTGGCATTAAAGGTGTGCACCTCTACTGCCCGGCGAGACTAAATTTTCAATGTGTTTAAATTTGTAAGGACTGTGGGACTTTTTAAGTTATTTGTGTTTTATATTGTGATATTAATATTAATGTTCCATCTTGGGGATAAATGAGAAAGGAAAGGTTCTAATTAACTAAAAAGTGATGTGTTTGTGTTTGTGACAAGGGCAGTTGCTGGCTAGTTTTGTATCAATTTGACAGAAGCTAGAGTCATCAGAGAAGAGAACCTCAATTGAGAAAATGGATCCATTAGATCCAGGTGGAAGATATTTTCTTAATTAGTGATCAATGGAGGATTGCGGTAGTGCCATCCCTGGGCTGGTGGTCCTAGATCCTATAAGAAAGCAAACTGAAGAAGCCATGTGGAACAAGCCAGTAAGCAGCACCGGTCCATGGCCTCTGCATTAGCTCCTGCCTCTAGGTTCCTGTCATATGGGAGTTCCTGCCCTCACTGCTTTTGATGATGAACTATTATATGGAACTGTGAGTGAAATAAAGCCTTTCCTCCCCAAGTTGCTTTTGGTCATGATGTTTCATCACAACAATAGCAACCATAACTATCACACACACACACACACACACACACACACACACACACACACACACACACACACACATAGTTCTAGTGTATATTTCTACTATGCACATAGGAAATAAATCAGGGTGGTGCAAACACAGAAGAGAAAATTTTGACTTAAAATAATTTGAATTACTTGAAAAGTTCTTCCAAGAATTTCAGTTGTCATTACCATCTCCTTCCTGTGCATCTACTGATACTCCAGAGCTGAATCCAACGAGGTGAAGGCAGAAGGGTACCCAAATGGTTAAATGGGTCAGAGGCATCACTAAAACTAAAAGAGACAGGGGCTTGGGTCTGGAACCACCAAAGAGGATGCTCACTCAGACAAATAGCTCAACGTTACAAGTAGACAGGTTGTGATATAAAGAGCTCTAAATCTGTAACGACTCCAGTTTCCCTTCTGTACCCAAAGAAGAGGAAGAAACAAAAACGCAGGACCCTGATAAGAGGTCTCCTAAAAATGAAACTTAATAGTTTACTTTAAAATGAATTCTACTCTGTTTTAATTTTTTTGAAGAATACAATTTTCTACAATATTTCCATTGCATGAACTGTATGTGTCTCTGAGTGTGCTGGTAGCCTACAAAGTTTCAGAAAATTATGTTAGATTTAATAGCTTGTAGTTATAAAAGGACAAAATAAAAGTGAATTGGGTATTATTTGTGCAGAAAATCTTGGCTCCAGATTTTTGTTTAAAGTAGTAAAAGTTCCATGGAAAATTAGAAATGAGATTAAAAAGTCATTCGTAATTAATCAGCTTATTAACAAACAGAGACTTTTGTCTTATGATTGTTAATTAAGAGCAAAATCGATTTAGACTAGCAAACTGTTAGCAATGCTTTAGAACAGTCATGGGATATAAAATATCAGGAAGGCAAATCCTCAGCCAAGAGGAATAGTAAGAGATGCTAATATTAGTAATCTGTTTAGTTGTGAATAATGGATGTCAGACAGGGAAGAGGAGAGGGGCTGGGTAAAGGGAAGCATTGAATGGAAATGGAATTTGCTAATTTAGTGGTGACAGAAGTTAATATGGAAAGAAAGGACTTCATAAATACATACATTCAGGAGAAACTATGGGGAAGATGATTCCATCAAAAGGAAAGAAAATTTTGCAGTGTGATGGGTGGATTAACTTGGAGAAATCAATGGTGTAAGATATGCTCACCTGTTTCCATACAGTAATATTGATGAAAAAAATCTGAAAAGGAATTCTGCTATACAGACATCTGAATTTGTCTTACCCATGGTCTCAGAGCTCAGGCACGTCCATATACGTTTTCTGACCCCATCCAAACTTCTGAAAGAAAGGCTGAAAGCTCTATCAAAGACAGAAAGCAGAGAATAGTAGTATACACAGAGTGAATCCATACTAAGAGTTCCTTATTTTCTGTCTTAAGAATAGGAACATGAGGTGGTGCGGGAGTCCGGCGCTCGGGGCTGCGGGTCCTGGAGATTGTGCAGGGTCTCCGACGCCATGTTCGGCTCCAGCCGCGGCGGCGTGCGTGGCGGGCAGGACCAGTTCAACTGGGAGGACGTGAAGACCGACAAGCAGAGGGAGAACTACCTAGGCAACTCGCTGATGGCGCCAGTGGGCCGCTGGCAGAAGGGCCGCGACCTCACCTGGTACGCGAAGGACCGTGCGCCGTGCGCCGGCCCGAGCCGTGAGGAAGAGCTGGCGGCTGTGCGCGAGGCGGAGCGCGAGGCGCTGCTGGCCGCACTCGGTTATAAGAACGTGAGGAAACAGCCCACCGGCCTGAGCAAGGAGGACTTCGTGGAGATCTGCAAACGGGAAGGAGGCGACCCTGAGGAGAAGGGCGTGGACCGGCTGCTGGGCCTGGGCAGTGCCAGTGGCTCCGCAGGCCGTGTGGCACTATCCCGGGAAGACAAAGAGGCTGCCAAGCTTGGGCTGTCAGTGTTCACGCACCACCGCGTGGACAGCGAAGGCCCAAGCACAGCCCCATCTGCTGCCAGAAAGAAGCCCCGTGCTGAGGACAAGGCCGAATTGGATACAGAGAGCTCTAAGAAAAGTAAGAAAGAAAAGAAACACAAGAAGAAGAAACACAAGAAACACAAGAAGAAGAAAGACAAAGAATACAAAAGGGAGACTGACAGCTGCCCATCATCTCCCTCCCCTGCTCGGCCCAGACACCAGAGACATGATTCTGACTTCTCCCCCTGCTCTAAGAGGAAGCGGGGACATAGCCAGGACAGTGGAAGGAGCCCATCCCGCAAACGACAAGACAGAGGCTTTGATGACTGAGAATGTGGCTAGACCAAAGGACACCAGAAGCCCTGGTTGCCCTGAGCTGAGACCCTGCCCACCACCAAGCTTTGTGGGGTCTATAAAGAGTAGTCACTGGATGCCAAGTGACTACCAGCCCCCTCCCTACTTGCTCAAACTAACCATCCCATCCCTGTCTGGGATAATGCAGGTGGTAGGATTCTGAACCAAGCTTGTTGGACCTTGGGATCTATTTCGCCATTTGGAGGCAACTTATGTGGCAACCACTCCAGGCAGCTGAGGAATGGGGTCCTAGGTGACCAGAGACTAGTGGTTCTGTGAAGGTAGTGCCCTTGTCTTGCCCCCATGCCAAGGAAGATATAGTTGCCCAGAAGCCTAAGGCCAGACTCCTGTTTCTGCTGCCACAGTACAGGCCCTTGAGGTTTAGGGGTGTGTGTGTGTATGGATATCTGGTTACTTCTACTTTTTGTATCAACCCACTTTGTACGTAAGTAAATGTATTTTAAAAGTAAAAAAAAAAAAAAAAAAAAAAAAAAAAAAAAAAAAAAAAAAGAATAGGAACATGATTTTGTTGGTGGTATGAAAAGGGTTTCACATTGTAACCAACCTATTTGTTTAATAAAGTGACTCTTAACTGAGGAGAGGTAAAAAGTTATCAGTGTATGCCTGGAGAGATAGCTTGGCAGTTAAGAGCACTTGTTGCTCTTGCAGAGGACCCAAGTTCAGCTCCAAGAACCCACAAGGTATCCCACAACCATCAGTAACTCTAGTTCCAGAGGGTCTGAGGTCCTCTTCTAATCTCTACAGACATGTGTAGCACAGATATGCACGCAAGAAAAATACTCAAACACATAAAATAACACTTTCAAAAACTTAAACACAAGACCATCAATCTGATAATAATGCTTAATATTTATAAAAGACGTCAGCAATCTGCAATCTGAAGTATTTGATCCTGATAGTATACTACGTTTTAAGAATTATTTCATAAGTTGAGTATGGCATGTGAACCAGGAAAGTCTAACTCGTGTCTGTCTTTCCCGACACAGAAATCTACTTTGCAAAGGGATCAACTTTTCCAGAGTTCAAAGTTATCAAGAAATGGACAAGGTAAATACTGCAAAGTAGACTGATAAATTCTAACACTGATTAAATCTTGAAGTGGGGCCAGGTGGTGGTGGCGCACGCCTTTAGTCCCAGCACTTGGGAGGCAGAGCCAGGCGGATCTCTGTGAGTTCGAGGCCAGCCTGGGCTACCAAGTGAGTTCCAGGAAAGGCGCAAAGCTACACAGAGAAACCCTGCCTCGAAAAATCAAGAAAAAAAAAATCTTGAAGTGGGTAAGACATTTATGAGATTTCTTCAAGCTCTGTCCTGGAGCACCTCAGGATAAATAAGAATAAGACTTTGGACAGAAGTTTCATCAGGAAGCCAGGTGGTGGTGGTGCACGCCTTTAATCCCAGCACTTGGGAGGCAGAGGCAGGTGGATTTCTGTGAGTTCGAGGCCAGCCTGGGCTACAGAGTGAGTTCCAGGAAAGGCACAAAAAGCTACACAGAGAAACTGTCTCAAAAAATCAAAAAAAAAAAAAAGGGTCTCATCAGGAATCTATAACATATGACCTGCATCCTTGATAAGGACAAAATCCACTGGGTCCTAGCTACTGGGCCAGCAACTATAGGTCCTCAGCAAATACCTATTTTAGAATAAAATGAAGACTGTATTTTTTAATTAACACTTAAAGCGTTTTTGAAAAGAATAAAACAATAAAAATTAACAGAAAGTGACATTTCACCCAATATTTAAATAATGTTTCTATAATTAGTCAAACAATGTTGTGAACCTTTGACAAGAGTTCATATGAAAGTTGGTGGAATAGGACAGATAACCTTGTCCTGCATGTTATAATGAAATTAAGAGACGGGTAGCAGGTGAGAAGAGCACGTTACCATCACTAACATGTTATCGAGGGAAAGGATGACGTTATCACTTCAGCTTCTACCAGGTAATGAAGGATGCAGGACAAAGTGGGAAGTCCAAGCTCAGAAACAGAGACAAAGAAAGAAAGAAACCACAAAATACAGAGTGAAGTGCAAGTGAATACATTAACGTGCTTGTTCATAATGGTTTGCATTAGCACAGGCTGCTGTGAAACAGGCCTGCCTTTCACAAATTACTTCTTACTGTTCCAGTTTTGCCTCTGGCTTATAGCATTACAAACAGCGATCTGAAAGAGCTATAGCCACTAGAAAGGAAAGGCATAAAATATCCTAAGATGTCCAAGACATTAGATTCCTCTTATCTAAGCCAGGCCAGAAATCTAAATCACTTGAAGATACATTTTGAGAATCCTAACCATGAGATTTCACCCGAATAAGCTCTAAATTTAGATCTATGTAGAGTCAAGTTTGTTGGAATTGTAAGACTTAAATGCTATTGTTTTACCAAGAAACATTTCATTATTTTTCTTCCTGAACTCCTTAAAATTCATTTAGAAACAAATATTTTATATTTATGTTTATTTGATCTTAAAATATATGTACAATCAGCGATTAATAATGCTGAATTAGTTACTGGTTATGAAAATAAAATACCTAGAAGTTCTCACAGGAAAGAACTTACAATCCAAGGAAGGTTTTTAAACTCTGAGGCTGACCTAACAGACGCTGTCATTTCTTAAGTAACTAGAAAGAAAACATATGCACAACTTTCAAGATACATTTCTCCCAACCATCCATTTCTGCTTTATATTTTTTTAAAAAAAGTGTACCGTAAGTGGACAACTAAAACCATACAGCTGTGCACTCAGATGGATGTCCCTCCCTCCTTAGTAATTGGAGACACCTCAAGTCTTTCTTTGGTGATGTTCTCTATCTCAGGTGAACTAGCCTGTCAGTGTTTATGAGGTCGTGCTCTGATGGGAAAGCATCTCTCAACTGTGTTCTCTCTGTACTTCGTCTCAATATTGGAGGTGATTTCTGTGATGATAAAGAAAATTGTGTTTAGTATACACAGTTCTGAGCATGATCTTGATCCAATCTTTGCAAAGAAAATTAGTAATAATATGAGCACAGACAGTAATAATCACAGACCCTTTGATTTCATGATGGCGTTTTCTATTGAATGTATGTCATCTTCGCCACTGACCAAATCTCCATTTATTCAGTCCATGTGCTCATCCATTTTACATGCTTTACCATGCTTACGATTTGTAACCAGTAAAGTAAAGATTATAATTTATTGGATAGTACACTATATTTGACTTTTCAAAAGTGGAGAAAATCAAACAAGATCTCAAAACTGTCAGAGGTAAAAGGAAAGCCAGAGGCACTGAAAACTGGAGATTTACTTTTTAATAAGATCTCTAATGCTTTCTTATACTTCTAAAATATACTATTTTAAAAACATTTATATTTCAAGCCATGCAAAAATACTATGAGGAGGTTGCTAGCATAGCGAACACTGCTCAATAGACATCAACTCCAGTAACTGCAGAGGTTTTGTGTGAGATAAACCAAAGTTCACATTCAATGATAATCTTTGTCTGATGTCATGAAACCTGCATTTCAAGAATATGTTAATCCTTTTCTTATAGAGTTGACTTTGGATTTTTGTTGGAGAGTCACTACTTTTTATAGTCACTCAACTCACTATCTTCAGCATAAATAAAAATCCCCACATTGCTCTGCAAACTTCTGTAGACTGAGAATGACTTCTTTCCCACCCACTTCTTAAAGCATTCTATTTGTAAACATGAGAAATGGAGTGAAAGGAAAAATTAAAAGACAAAAAAAAATAACATGAACAGCAACACTAAATATACATTAAATTCAAATTTAGCACCTATGTTCTTGGTTTTGCATTTTAATTCATTTATATTTTTCATCTGCTATCACAATTGTCCATTTAAAACCTTCCTTTCTCTTTAAAATCCAGATTAAAATTGCCTTCTTCATAGAAATTTTCAAATATATGAAAATAATCTGATTGCTTACTTAGCATGAAGTAATACTTGTGTTTAATATGCTTCTAGGTAGTTACGGCATACCTAAGTTACCAATATATAACAAGGAATGATTAATCTGGGAATATGCTCTTGAGGTACAGGAATGGCATCTTCCTGGTCCAACTCAGTATCTGTGTTTTTGTAGATTTTGTTTGGCCTGTTCTATATTGAAAATCAACTGAGGGAGAGAATTAACTCCAGCAACTTGCTCTACCTCATTAAGCACAAAAGATATTGGCTCAATGTGTCAGTAAAATACTGGTAGAAAAGATATAACATGGGTCAATAAGCTTTTTTTTTAACTTTTGTCAAAGGTCAAGAAATAAAATAAGTGCAGATCACTAGGCCTCTAAAACAATGCACAAAATCTGCTAGTGTAGAATGAAAGCTGCACACACACACACACACACACACACACACACACACACACACACACACACACACACATTTGTATTTGTAGAAAGGTTTGGTCATGCTCCAATAAAACTCTATTTATAAAAGAAGCAAGGGAGGATTGAATCGGTATGAGTCATAACCTGTGTTTTGCTAAACCCCCTTTTACAAAATTTTCTTGTCTGAGGTTGGATTTCCTTGAGGCAGAGCCTGAGACAAGGATTCAGGCTCCTACAGAAAGTCTTCAAGGGAGAGAGGAAAGCAGGTGGAGAATGGGAAAAGATGCCAGTACAGTGAGTCCCCCCCCAGACCTCTACACTTTCTTACCCAGCATGGGGCAACAGAGAAGCCTTGCTGAAGCAGCAAAACCCTGAAGGGCTGTCTGGCAGGGAAACAGGCTTCGTAAGTATTCCCACTTTGTCCTTCATCATTTGCTGTAGGGGTTGCAGGAGGCTGGTGTGTGTTTCAATATTCCCATACTCTTCCTTAGCCTGTGTCGGTCTCTACAAAGGACACAAGACACATGTGAATATAAACTAGTGGAAATACAGGAAACTATGAATTTAGAATCTATTTATTTATCTATCTGATGAAATGATTGTCACCTGTATTCCCAGATCTCCTTCTTTCCACATGTCCCCTCCAGAGCTGGCTCTCTAGCATTTTATATAAAGAAGCTACCAAAGTTTAAAGCCAGATAGACATGTTTGTCCCAAACCAAAGGGCCAGGTTCCACCTTTGCCCCCTCATACATATTGAAATTTGGCCCTTGGTCAGCCCATATTCAGTGTGTAAGGACATGAGTCCTTCTCAGCCCTGGAGTTGGGTGATTAGGTCCTTCACTGTAGACTAGATAGTTCTATGTCCGATCAACCTCTGGAGATCTTGTCTAAGGTTACCTGTCAGCCCCTTATATCATCCATTTTAGATGAGCATAAGGTACTTTGAGTCAGAATTCTTTCCTACAAACTCTACTGGAGCTGGCCGGCATGCCCCATATAGCTCATCCATTCACTGCAAACCACTCTTCAAAGCTCACCTCCAGTAATCCCTTCCTTGGTTCCACTTTGTCCACACAGTTTGCTTTTCCTTCTTTTGTCAATCTACTGAAGAGCAATA